GCGGGTGTCATAGGCTACTTTTCGTCATCGATCGATATCGATTTTATCGATTTTTATCGATTTTTTTTGCTGAGTTCACCTACGGGGCTGGGAGTTGGCACAGGGGGGTAATCGAGCATGGGGATTCCGAATACAATATTGGTTTTCAGGATTATCGATTACTTTTATCGATTTTATTGATTTTTTGCAAAGTTTGAGCTAGGGGGCTGGGAGTTGGCACAGGGGGGGGGGTAATCGAGCATGCTGATCATCCCCAAGGGGGGTGACAGCATGCTCGATTACACCCCTGTGCAAAATCCCAGCCTCGCATGTCAAAATTTACAAAAAATCGATAAAATCAATAAAAGTAATCGATAATCCTGAAAACCAATATTGTATTCGGAATCCCCATGCTCGATTACCCCCCTGTGCCAACTCCCAGCCCCGTAGGTGAACTCTGCAAAAAAATCGATAAAAATCGGTAAAATCGACATCGATCGATAACGAAAAGTGGACTGTGACACCCGCCGGGGCCCGAAGTGTATGTGTGCCAAGTTTGGTCCGGATACGGCGGAGCCGGGTAAGCCAGCTACTTTTATTTATAAAAATTAAAATAGACGTGTTTAGTAAATGGCGTATTTGGAAGTAAAAGTTTGTTGGACTGTACGGATTTTATTAAGTAAATTTTGTCATAACATACTGCGAAGGAAGTAGGTCGATCTAGGCAGTAACGGCCGAGAACCAGAATTTTGAATATTTAAATAGTGAAAAATTATGCGAAATTTCCACTGTTATAAATCTGTTGTTTGAAGATGTCAGCAGTTGCGACTTCAAAGGTTTTAAAGAGTAAGATTTGCCTTATCAGGATATATCTTAGCCGTTCCGATCCATCGAAACACCTCCGAGATCCAGAGTCTTGAAAAAGCAGGTAAAAAAGCGCTTTTTGAATTTCAACAGCTCATAACTTCTTCAGAACTGAATGAATCATGTTGCGACTTCATAGATCAGATTCTTCTCATCAAGAGATTTCAGATGATATATGATATGTGGGGGTTTAGAGCCTCCTACGAATTATGCCCGTGGGGGAGCCTTTTCATACCAAAGTCTCCCCCTTCCAATACATTAGCGTGGGCTAGGGGGAGACTTTGGTATGAAAGGGCTCCCCCACGGGCATAATTCGTAGGAGGCTCTAAGCCCTTACATATCATATATCATCTGAAAGCTCTTGATGAGAAGAATTATCCTATAAAGTCGCAACATGATTCATCCAGTTCTGAAGAAGTTATGAGCTGTTGAAATTCAAAAAACGCTTTTTTACCTGCTTTTTCAAAACTCTGGATCTCGGAGGTTTTTCAATGGATCGGAACGGCTAAGATATATCCTGATAAGGCAAACCTTACTCTATAAAATCTATGAAGTCGCAACATCACACACTTTCACATTCAAGATTTATATGAGTTTGCCAACTGTCAAAAAATACGCAAAAATGGCGTAAATTTTTTATAATTCTTGTTTTCAACGACTATCTCTCAAATCCACTCGATTTTTTCACTAGCTGAAAGAGCACCATTTACTCTTTGAAACCCATGAAGTCGCAACTGCTGACATCTTCAAACAACATATTTATAACAGTGGAAATTTCGCGTGATTTTTCACTATTTAAATATTCAAAATTCTGGTTCTCGGCCGTTACTGCCTAGATCGACCTACTTCCTTCGCAGTATGTTATGACAGAATTTACTTAATAAAATCCGTACAGTTCCGCTAAGTTTTACTTCCAAATACACCATTTACTGAGCACGTTTATGTTAAATATAGATGCTGCCGTATACATATATATATGCTTTCAATAATCTTTTGCGTCTGTTTTGTTTATTTTCTTTCTTTATCGTCCAGCGAAAAATTTTTTTTTCCAAAAGTGAAGGTGGTCACCATGTACCAGCTCAAAAGTGAAGGTAGGAGGAGAATCGGCTTACTATCGCACCTCTGCTCTAAGCAGTAATATGTGCGTCATGCTTCAGATACCTTTTGCTGAGATGATAAAAAGAGCAAGAGAAATATATTGAGAAATTACATAGCATACCTTATAAATGTGAAATTTCAGAAACTCTTGTATGTAGATAAAATTAATACAAGCAACTCCTCATGTGGAAAAAGTTAAGTGCTAAACATTTCATTATCAGATGCTGTTCCTTTCCACTTCCTATTTCCATTGCTTCTTATTGTTAGATGGTTTTTTTATTTCAGCTATGAGCTCCACAGTTGAACAAATACTCCTCATATGGAAATGTACAGCAGTTTCCTTCGCTCAGGTTGTGCTGCCATAAGATTTGGGTCATTTCAAACCACCTTTTCATAATTTGACCTCAGCAATGCTGGAAACCATCTCTAACATCTATATTATGTATATTTCATTGCATTGAAGAAGTTCCATGCATTGAGGAAAAATTATAGGTCAGGTTATGCGCTTATTTTAAGCGAAATGGACCATTACTACGATGCTTTAGCAAGAAGTCTACGACTGACTCTAACTCTTCGCGCTGTTCTTGTAAAAACAAATAGGAGACGAGATTCTGCAAATGATTTGTACTTGTTTGGCTCTAGAAGCAAAAATAAAAACTCTGAGTATTTAATGCTATTAATCACATCGTTTGCTGTAATAATTTCAGCACTGCAACAATTTGGATACGGCTATTGTTAATGAAAGCCGGAACCGTTATGAAGTTACGCTTCCTTTGCAATAATTTTTCTTTAACTGAAAGTATCATTTATTTTTAAAGGGAAATTGACTTTTAAATATAGCATATATGACGCTTTTGAAGTGCAATTAAATTGCTCTTCTATGCTTGATAGTAACACCTTCACAAAATTCAGAAAAAACGCAAATACATAATATTTGTTGTTTGATAACTTTCTACTTCTCTGAAAAAAGTAAGCAAGGTGCACATAATCCCTTTCATCTCAAACTTCATAAACATACTCTTTTGAAGGTTAGACCGGTCAAAGACCTCCTGTTCAAGACAGAAATTTTTTCAAGCCTTCAAAGTCGCTTCCATTATTTTGAGTGAAACTGTAAATAACTTCGTCGAAAATAAATGTTAGGTTTTTCATCTCTGTAGCGAGGCTTTTGAGATTGATGATTAACTGATACTCGACGACCATGACGGCTTACAAGCCGCTCACAATCCATGAAGCTTTCGTAGAGGATCTGGAAGTCTTATGAGTATCGATTCGTTTCTAGTCCATGCTAGAGTTATTTTTCGAAATTGCTATTCTCAGAAACTTGCTCGTTCCCTCATAAAGCGTGAAAATCCATCACATCGAATGAAGTCACATGTTTGCTGCCTTCACCTTTTTTCGCCCTATATCGAATCACGCAATATCATAGCAGAAATCCCAGAGAAGATTGACTTATTGAAGAAATTCATATTGTGTCTTGCTCTTCCAGTTTTTATGAGCAACATTTGCAGTTTTTTTTTGTTACTAACTAGGTAATTGCTGTTTTATTAAGTCAAGTCTGAACTATAATCGAATTTACGCTTAGGTGAATGAACTTCACTCTGAAGTGGAATATTATCTTTCACTTGAGTTTTATAGAGTTTCAACTATGTGCTATCCATCTCTAAACAATATGTGCATTTTCTGGAAGAATTCGAGCACGTTAGAGAGAAATTGACTGCTGGCTGCCTCTCGCTGCCAGTCAGCATTGGCTCAATCCAACGCCCAATGTTTTGTCTTCGTTTCCTTTGTTCTGCAAGTTCGTCAGCTCTGCTCTCGTTCGTGTCACCACATTGTCAGCCATGAATGAGTAATCAAAGGTCTGCTCTAAAAGGAAGCTAGCGGAATTGTCCATTGTAACTACTTATGGGTTTTCGGCAGAAGCGAGCCATATTATTTTTTTCGCAACATTCAGAAAATTTTCAAAAAATTTTGTTCGAATCGTGCTCTTTTTTATCCAAGAATATATGGGAAGTGAAAGGTTCCGAAAATCTAGTTTCACGTTTGCTTATGCTTTCCTCTTGGATTTCCCCATTGTCAGTTAAAAGTACTAGGAACATCTCGCTGAAGGACTTTATTTTCAGCTCAAATTTTCCAAAACAAAAGCGGGTTCCCTCCCCACCCCCTCTAAATCTAATTCCCATTTTCTGCCTAGTAAAATTTAAACTTCTGGTTATGAAGTTCTTCGGATGCTCCTCCGCTTGATTATACCCCTCATTCAGAAACCCCCTGTAATTTTCGGGAAATTGCACCTTTGAAAAGTTCATTGCTTTAAAATAAACGAAACTGCCAAACCCAGCACACTTCTCTGAATCATAACTAATTTGGCCTCTCTGGCAAGACTTTGTTTTCTTTTATGGCTTTGATTTTATTTTGTAATTTTGGCGATTTGTTATTTTTCTTATCAACTCAATGAACCTTGAAGAGGAGAAAGTAAACAAAAACAATGCATATCTATAAGCTCCATGGTAGAGTGTTATTTGTTTTTTTTTTGTTCATGTGCGTCACAGAGAATGCTGAGAGCAAAAAGTCCACCATGTTATTCTCGAACTAGCTGTGAAATAGAATGAAGTTAGTTGGCTTCCGACCAAAAACTGCGTTCAAAAATCATTGCGAACTTTTTGCGTTTCTGCCTCCTCATTTTCCTCTTCCTGGTTACAGCTAGAAAATCCATGGAAAAAGCTATGTGCTCGTGGACGCACGTATGGCTTTACTAACTAGGTAAACACTCGAGGACTATAGGTCATACCAAGGCGGTGACTTCAAACGCTCTAACATTACACACACAGATGTTTGAGAGGCCGAGAAGAATTTATTTGTTGGGGTTAATTATTTTCTTTGCTTTTTGAGGTTCGATAGTTCGCATTATATTTCTAAAAGAAGTTTTAGTCCACATAAATAATGTAAAAGTAATCTCCTCCGACTTTGCAGAAAATGATTTTCTTACCTACTTGGCATCGGATTTACTTTGTTAATGAAATTTCTCACATTACGAAGCCCAAATACCCACTTGATCTTTTCAGGTTGAAGTAAGAACATGTCGGATAGCAACCTCCAAGACGTAATTCTTACAGCAGCAATCGTTAATGGAACTGATACCAGGTGCGAAAACTTTTTCATATTCACTGCAATTTCGCGCTAACCATTTTACACCGTGAAAAAAGTAGAAGCAAATGAATGTTCCTGGCTGCAGTTTCGTAGTTCTTTCACGGCGTAGCATACTTGCAATCATCATTCATTTACTTCCGTTCACCGGCTGTTAGCTGGCGACTGGCAATACAACAGCATGTCAAAGACTAAAAATCATATTTGAGATACATATCAGATAGATTAAAAAAATGCTTTATCGTTATGTACATCCTGAGCATTATGCATGAGGTACTCGTTTTATGAAAATGATATCAAAAGCAAATTTAACTGAGTGCATAACCTCAAAAAAAAGCGATATGATTTTTCTGAGTTACTCTCAGGGCTCGACACGAGGTGGTTTCCGAAAATGCAAAAAACGAAGTCCCTTTGACACTAAACCATAAACTTAAAAAACGGTAAAAAAACGAAGTGTCGACTCAGGAAAACGTAACTTATGTTGTGATTTTTTGACTTCAAAATGGTGTCTCCTTTGCCTTTTGTCTCAAAACCGACATCCAGCTGGCTCGCCACCTGTGCCGAGGCCTGGTTACTCCGAGTTCAACAGGGCAGCTCCTATAAAGGTGTTGTAATTTTGAATTACATACCCGTCGTTTCTGCGAATAATGTATAATTTATGGCTGAAATATGAATGTGACCATTATCTTAGCTCCGGTCACCCTGCAAAAAAGTAAAATTATGCGACTTCATAAGCTTTATACTGTAATTAAACCATCAAATTTCATTTAATGGAGTATTAAAGTTGTTTTTTGTTATAATATCGTGATAGATTATTGTTACGGGCTCAAGCTAGGAGATCTCTTACAAACTGGTATCGAAAAAAATTACTTGCAATTGGTAGCATGGAACAGAGATGTGACGAAGATAATCATTTCTTGAAAGACAGAGAAATTTTCATGAGCTGCAGTGTCATATTATTTTTTTGAACTTAAAAACAATGTATCAAACGCGCACTTTATTCAAAACAATACCTAAAAAAGCATAGTTTCGCGTAACGATCTAATTTGATTTTGGAAGTCACACTTATTTTCTTCTTTCCCGGGAAGAAATTTATGCTGAAAAGTTTTTTTTTGCATCACGAGAAAATGCCGCGCTGGAGTGCCTCATGAATCTCCGCGCTGTGAACGCATAAAGTGTGGTGCTCATGACTTCCTCATAATGCTTTCCAAATCTCATATTCTGCACATGCTGGCCTGGCACGCAATCAATCCTACAGGCCTATAATTTTCTCAGCAAGAGCATTAGGAAAATGTTGGTGGAAGGGAGTTAGCTGGATATAGTGAATTATCGGTTACTTGTTTGATTTTCAATTATACTGTCAACGTCCCATGGTAAAAATAAAAAAGTATATATGTCAGTAAATGATTGTTGTGCCGAAACCAGGTTTCTTGGTGGATGTTTATTCGATCGACGTTTCGACGGGCTCGTCTTTTTCAAGGCTGGCTGCTATCCTCCGATGAGGTCTAGACTAGTACTTGTGGAGGAGGATCTTGGCGGCGTACTGGTCAGATCCAAAAACCTATAATCTACGTTCAAACCTCTTGAAAAAGACGAGCCCGTCGAAACGTCGGTCGAATAAACATCCACCAAGAAACCTGGTTTCGGCACAACAATCATTTACTGACATATATCAAAATGCCCAGGTTCAAAGATAAGAGAGCTTTTGATCTACTAAAAAAGTATATAATTTTTTACAATGCCCCCCCCCCTTCCCCCTACTTCTTTACCCATCTCAGGTCATTTGAAAGCCAAAATCAATTTCGCATTATGAATCTGCACAATTTTTTGCATGATATGAACCGAACTCGAAAACATTACCGATTATGGGAAATTGAAACGAAGCTCGCTTGCGGAAATTTATATGCTAGGCAATGTGATTTTTTTTGTAAAAGCCACTTGCTTTTAGCTCTTTTGTCATGCACCCGCGTTTTTCAAGAGCAAATAACTCTCTTCGCAACTTTATGCGTTGGTTTCTATGTTGATTCACAGAAAAACAAACAAACGCGAGCTCCCCGCAGCTCTGCGTCATTTCTAAGCATCATGCTTCGCTTGTACATTTCATTCCAGGCTGGCAGAGGATGAACTCAGCAGTCCCATCACAATGTTTCAATTTATTCTCTTTAACTGCTGTGTTGCCATATTCGGCTATTACGTTTGGTTGATATTCCCACGTCCGAAGACAAATGACAACTTGCGGTTAGAGCAACAAGCACGAAGTAAGTAGAATTTTGAATTTTGTTGTTCCGCCAGATGTAAAATTGTGTTTTCGATCTGATGTGAAGTTGAAAAAGCCAGTCAACCGTGAACTTTGCCATAAATAAAACTAATTCACAGAAAAAGCTCTACTCGGCTACATAAAGAAGCAAATACGAAATCACATTTGCTCCTGACTTTTCGATAAACTCTTCATCCTTAAATAGGCTTCTAGCGCTATTTTGATCTATAACAAGGGCATATAAAAATTCCCAGGTACAGAGCTGATTTTTCTGTCCATTGTAATGGCAATTTGGACCTAATATAAAATTTTTGAGAAAGAGCAGAAAATTCAAAAATCCTAAGAATAGCATTGATTTTGCAGCGCCCTTCCTTAAGTGGATGCGATGCCCAAAAATTCTTATCTTGCTCTTCCATAGGTCATCAAAATTTGAAAAAACATCAAACCCGATAACCGGGAAAATTTTTGAGAATGTTCTGCCACTATTTTCTATATTCAAAGCATGCATGTTTCAAATTTGTTGGCAGGAAGAGGCTATACTGGTATGTTGCTAATCAGTGGCGATCCCAGGATTTCGGACCGGGGGGAGGGGGGCGTGACAAAAAAATTTTTTAAAGAAGGTGCGCGGCGTCAGCTACGCACTCCAAAAATTTTTTGGGATGCTTCTCAAAATTTTTGCGGGTTTAATTATTCAAATAAACAAGTCGTTTGCACATTTTTATACCCCCCTCGTACCGCCACTGCTGCTAATGTATATAGAATGCTTTACTTTACATAAGATTGAGCAGTAGTCGGCTTTGTCCGATGAAAAAACACTTTTCTGTCTCTCAGTCTTTCCTCTCAAACTAGTTTAGCAATATTCAATATCAGTCAAAACGGAAGATCGCAATTTTCTATTCTAATATCGATATGGCGAATATGAATTTTGAGTGTACATCATGCACTTCGTCTTGGTTTAAAAGAGTCTTGGAGCCGCGATATAGCCAACGAATGTTAAAATTTCATTTATGTGATGCTAGAGGGTGTCCTAGACCACTTGTTTTCATTCGTTCAAAAACATTCACTGTTTGTCTGAAAGAAGAAAATGAAGAGTGAGCGAAAAATCATTGAGTAGTGCAGTCCTAATAATGACATTAATGCGCAATTTCCAATGTCTACCTTGGTTTGTGTGCGACGTTTCAGAGTAAACATAGAATAATTTTTTTCATGTAGTATGACTTTTCAAGACAGCATTGAAGAACGGTTGGGTTTGCAATTTTAAAACGTTGTTTGGCACCTTCTAAATTAGATCGAGTTCTGCATGAGAGGCAGTTAAAAGAGCACAAAAAAATGTATTAAGTCTACTTATTCGGATTCTTCACTGCTAGCCAACTTCAGATTATCTTTTCCTTTATTTTACTGAAAAAGGCATATTGTTGTAGAGCCCGACTTCTAGTGTTTTGCGTGATCCTCACTTTCGTGCCAAATTTTTTGGAGACGAATATTTTACTGTGGTGCTAATGAAATCGAAACATGAGCTGGTATGATTTAAAGGTGCTGAACAGTTTTTCACGATAACAATCTGAGAACAGACAATTGAGACTTTTGATGAACCACCCATTCCAACTCGTATATCGAACTTTTTTCTTGATGTTTTATTTGATTCTGAATCTTCAGCAATTTCTGGAAAGAAAATTCTCACTGTCGCGTCAGTGGCGTACCCAGGATTTCGGCTCGGGGGGGGGGGGACAAAAATTTTTTTCTAAGGAAGGTGCGTGGCGTTAGCCACGCACTCCAAAAAAATTTTTGGGGTGCTTCTCAAAACTTTTGCGGGTCCCCGACCCCCGAAAAAAATTTTTTTATAAAGCTAAATTGAATTTTTAAAAAATTTTAAAAATTATTTTAATTACTTACAGTATAAATAAGTCTTTTGCACATTTTTATAACCCATATAAGTAACTTTCAAAAATTTCGCGACCCATTCTCGGGGGGGGGGGGGAGGGGCGCCCCCCCCCTCGGTACGCCACTGGTCGCGTTGCTCTAGCTTTTCAGAATTGTTGCTCATAATCGATCTGTGTTTTCAGGCAAAATCCGGTGAGAGGGAATCAGAAAGAAGCTGTAAGAACTTGCAACCTGCCTATAAAAGATCTTGCATATATCTATGATCACGTACATAAAGCTTTAACAATTTTTTGAATAAATCTATCTACTGGTTCTCTTAGTCAGTCTGAAAGAGGATGACTGTCATGGTAGTATCAAGTTGGTGCGAAAATGATGTATCTATATTTTGCATAATTCCACTTTGAAATTTCAGAGCTAGAACTGTATACTTCTAGTTACAGTAAGAACTTTGAAAAGAGTACATCCCCTAACGAGCAATCAAAAGTGGCTGGAAAACAAGGGAAAAAATTGAAACACCATATTCGTCGTTCACAGCCTTTTTCGATGATATGGCCGAAGAACTGTCAGTACAAAAAAGACTGTCCGTGTCAGGATTGCGAAAATCAACTGAGGTAAACTGCATATGGGTGGATAGAGCGTAAAAAGCTCTATCAGATGGTACCTAGAAGACATCCGTTCACCTGCAAAGAATTAAATAACGCGTATCTTTGTTCTCAAAGCTACTAATGGCCATATCTCCTGACTTCGAAAGTTGAGGCATGGGTTTGGTGACTGTCCCACCATCCAGTCCAGCAGTGGTCCTTTGGGTGGTCTCACATGTTTCACTGCGCAATTACTGCTCAAAGTTCATGATTTATCGAAGTGACTAACTTTGCATTTCAGCAAGTATAGAAATCATTAATTATGTAAATGACCTTATATAGGTATTACCTGAAAGAGAATAACATATTCTAACATCTATCAAAATTGGAATTCTAATCACTTCCCTTTCTTGAAAAACCTCCAGTTATTTCGTAAGTGACCCTTTTACCGTTCACCCTAATACTTTTGTATGAGTGTATCCATTATAGGGAAAATTTCCTGGTCCAAAAGCTGCCGAGAAAATTATGTAGCAATATAGTATAAAGCTGTCTCTAACCACGGCTCTCGAGGTTGTTTCGCGCACTTTACCCGTTGGGCGCTAGGGAAATCTCAAGCGACAAAGTCTTCTCGATTTTGATCGTCACTACTCTCCAAAGTGGCGATCAGAGGTGGCGACTGAATCGAGTCACTCACTCATTGTTCGTCCGCGTGCATACTCACACGACTTATCAAATGCAGAGTCGGGTGCCCAGCATCTCCACTCCCGCGAGACTGCCTTGCCTGGACTCTGCAAATTTTTCGCGAACATGCTCTCTTATCACTCCCACCGCGGGCGTGAGAAAGACGGAGCTTCAATCGCTAATTAAGCATGCGAAAATTACAAGAGAGCATGTTCGCAAAAGAGGCGCAGAGCCCAGGCGAGGCGGCAGGCGGCCAAGCGGGAGCGGAGATGCTGATGCGCCTGACTATGCAATGGATTAGCCTTGTTGTTGACCCGAGGGGATTTATGTTCAGAGCCGAATGCCCCTCAGCTCTGCCATTTTTCTTCTGCTCGTCTGCGCCTACACCTATCGCACGCTACCTCGCTATCCCCCGCGCTCCACAAGGCATTTAATACACTTTTCTTCGTTGTTTCAAATGCATTATGGCTCAACTTTCTGATTTGCACGAGAACTTTAGCAAAAACCCTGGCTCTGCAGTTAAAAAGCCCTGTACCTCTGACACGATCTCATGTAAGTACACAATACGGCGCACATTACGATGCAACCAAACTAATATGAGGGTCATTGAATACTGCTTTTCGCCTTAATTTTCTAGAATCATGTTAGCGGTGCGAAACCTTTCTGCTTTTGACACCTGAGCGAAGATGATAAGGTTCATGAAGGTTCATCTGTAGTCCACAAACATCGACTATGTTTTCAAGCGAATTTGTTTGCATGCTCTGAGCCTCGATCAATGTATTGGGATAATCGAGTTGGTTATTGCCTCTGTCTAGAATGTTAAGAGAAGCAAAGCAATGTAGATTGAAGAATTCATAGAAAGCTTAAATCAAGTGGAATTACCATCGTCGGTGACCATCGAAATGCGAGTTACGCATCATCAAATCAAAGTTACGCACCTTTCAGCGATCATTGACACCGCCTAGACAGACCAAATTGGTGAAAGGATGATATGGCAAGGTACCCCGCAAGACTTGCTTCATCCCAAGTATGGCAAGGATGGAAACGGCTGGAAGGCGAAGCTTCGTGACCTAATTAAAGCTAGACAATGATCAGAGCATGTTCGCGAGGAAGGCGCAGACAGCGTCGCAGCGCGTGCAGTCGCCTCCTAGATCACGAAGTCCCGCCTTCCAGCAGCCGATCTGGTTGAAGCAAAGGGTTGGATAACTCGAACCACACAAGAAGCTACGCGACGCGCAGCTGAACTTCGCGTTAACTCTAGGTTTGGTGCGCGTTCCAGGCGCCCGCGAATCTCAAAAAACCCTGAGTTTTGTTAGAGAAAGGGAGATAGTGTGCAGATGAAAAGGTGCAGCTAAAAAGTCCCCCCGGGGTCTATTCTGCTTGTAGTTTCAGCAAACATGGTAGGGTATCGCGGTGCACCGTTAAACAAAAAATTTTGAGATTTTGTGAAATTTTGGCAGTGAGCATACCTTCGATACATAGAGCCATGTACTCTGGTAACCTTCACTTTGAGCGTCATGATAGAGCACAACCTTCACCTGGGGAGAAGTAGAGAAGTCATCCGGGGCGAAGCCCCGGAAATTGTGACATAACTAATGACATAACCGTATAGGGATGAATTGAAATGAGGCAAATATAGCAGTGACATTCAAAAGAAGCTCAAAAAAAACGAAGGGTTGCGTTTTTATGGCCTTTTTTGTTGAGAAGAAGGTTTTTATAGGAAAATTCAATCAAAGTCTAGGGCAAAATTTCTCAATTAACCTTTCTTTGAACTGCGGTTGAATGTTGGAAGTTCATTATAGCCGCTAGAGTTCAATAAAAACGAAAAACTGCGCTCAAATCTTGCGCAAAGAGTCGCCATATGAATGCTGGTCTATCTCGTTATGGAGTGATTTTCAAGACCCGCGACGTTGTCAGTGCTCCTGGCCGTCTCATGAGGATCACAACGATATATAATGTTGCAGGGTTTCGTTGAGACCCTGCGAAGATCCACGACCAGAGCCAAATGCCCCGTCGGCTCTGGTCTGTCTCCGCTGTTCGTCTGCGTCTCCGCGCGCTGCGCGCTACCTCGCTACCTCAAATGCGGGGCGCGGGGCATTTGGCTCTGGTACCCTTTTCTTCGTTGTTCGGAGCCCAATTTCGATAATCTATATATCATATTAAAGCTGCTGATCTCTATTTTCACGCTGACAACGTCGCGATACTTTTTTTAAGGATTTAAACGAGAAATCCTCGAAAAACGGCGTTTTCGAAAACCTCCTGTTTTTTCTTCAGTTTAATTTTTTTCACTCAATTTTTTTGTGTATTCGATAGGTCTTGTTTCTGTCTATGATGTCGACAACGTCGCCGAGCTTACTTCTTTGCTTATGCCGGTTTTTTTGTGAAAAATACAAAAAAGTGCGTTTTCCTTTACCTTGTTCTCTTTCTGTGCTTTTGCAACGAATTTTTTCCAGCTTGGACGATACTTGCTCAGGATGATGAGCGGAAGAATCCAGACAACGTCGCAGCGTACGAAACGACTATGCGGGGTGAAAATTTAAAGGACGCATCAAAAATCAGATTGGCGTTGATGTGCAACACAACTTTACAGACATGTTTAACATGTTCAATTCAGTTGTTGACAAGTTCTTCTTCTTTCGGTCTCACAACTAACGCCACAGCTAGACAGCGCTTTTTTTGACTGGAAAAGGACTTTGTTGTTGTTGCCACCCAATTTAACCGGCAATCCTGGAGACGAAACTCTGCGCAGGAAACCACCAAGTTAAGGTTTCAGATTTGTTGATGTGCTAACCACTGCTTTATATGAATTTTCTAAGTTTTCTAATTTAATTTGTATCTCTAAATTTTCGTCTATTTTTCTGAAACAACCTTCACTTTTTATGGGGGACAGGAACTCAAACAACTATCACTTTCTAGCCTCTGTCTCTTGACTATCGAAGGTATGGCCGTGAGGGTTGACGTGTCGATCACCGATACGACCTTTTTTTTCCATTCCCCCAGATAGCGAGGTGGTAGAAATACGGTAACTGGGCGGAAATCACGAAATTTGTTGAGCTGTGTGGATGGAATTATGATATGCGTCTACAGTTTGCGCCAATACACGCGAATTATAAGGGGAGTTGAAACCGCCGCACAATCACTACGAATGAGGACTGATCTGCTAGAAAAACTTCACCGAAGCGGAGAATCCATCGTCGTAAGGAAAGTGAAGACAGCGGAAATAAAGGGGCTCGACAGAGAGATAAGATTTTATAAATCAATGCTGATGCTCAGATGTTTATCTACTACGTGCAATGCCGCATGACAGAATTTGAGGGAGAATGGAAAACCTAGAGCATAAGAAAAAAGGCACCGCCACCGTAAGGCGTAAAAACAACAACAGGCAAACTTTAGAAGGAAATGATGAGAATAACAATGCCAATAACAACTTGTTTTGTGGTTTTTAATATGAAAAAGAATTTGATAAATACTAATTAGGAACGCAAGAAATTCAATTCCTTTTTGTTCATTTTCTACACTATCCGGTTTCGGGGCTAAGAACTATACCGGTAGTGCGGCTTCCTTGGTGCCCCTCGTCAGTAGTTCCCAAGGGAGCTTCAAAATTATCAAATGAAAATCTAAGATAAGATCTAAAACAGAAAATGGCGTATAAAGAACTTGAGTAAAGAAGGTGCAAGTCATTAACATGTACGTATACGACAAAATAAATGGCAAGTGTCATCCGAGGAAATAGCGACCTTTTTTTCAAACTGGAGTACTCCCGCCGTGACCTCAGAGCGCGCTAGCGTGAGCCCAAGTGTCATGTAGGTCATGTAAAAGAGGCAAATGTATGATACTAGGAACTCCGTACTTACGCATTATGAATGGTCTATCGAATAGTATATGATAAAGTTTACTAATAAAAATACGATATTCCCATCCATTAGTTTTTAAAGTCTTAGCTAGTTCTATTACTCTTTCCTTAAAATGTGCATAATTAGAGCAATTTCTATACATTCTAAGAATTTCTGAAGTGCAAGTATTGTACAATATATACCTGGGAATATTAG